TGGTTTTCAGGGAAGACTCCTGCTAAGCGGACTACTCACCGTGTGCGAAACGAAGGATTGATTGGTTTAGACAATACAGCGCAGATCACAAAGTGGCGCGAAACAAGGAACAGCGTTCAAAGTGTTTGAAGGAAGCATAACCGGCGCTTGAGATCCAGTTAGTCTTTGTCTAATCTGGCAATATGGGTTCGTTCTCCGATGATATCGATATACTCAACAGAAGTTTTGACGAACTACTCCTGGAGAGCGATGCAGAAGATCTCTACATGCCCGATGAAGAAGATGCCCTCGTTCCAGCTATTGTGCACGATGAAGAAGATCTTGATTCAGGTGAATCAGACAAAGACGGCATCGACGAAGAGGCAGAATCTATCTGGCTAGACGATGCTCAACCAAATAATAGATGGACCTTCAACGAGCCAACAGGCATTCATCAAGATGTGGAACTGTGTCAAACTTCACTCAACTTCTATGAGCTCTTCCTTTCCGAGGAACTACTGGAACTGATTGCCACACAAACGAATATCTATGGCCATCAGAAGAATCGTTCGTGGAAGGACACAGATACTGAGGAGCTGAAAAGATATATAGGTCTTTGCCTGCAGATGTCACGCTGTCCCACTTGATAACCAGAGGAACTATTGGTCGTTGAAACCTAGGAACCTCGCTAGAAATGGGTACTCAATTGCCAGAGACATCATGGTTGGAGATCGATTTGAACTAATCCAACGACATCTCCATGTTGCTGATAACAACAATGCCGACGGAAGTAACAACTTATTCAAGACCCAGCCGATTTTGGGCTACCTGAACACAGCCTTCCAAAGGATGTGTCGACCCGGAAAGGAGCTATGTATCGACGAATCGATGGTGCCCTTCCGCGGGCGTGTCTCTTTCTGGCAGTACAGTGCCAACAAAAGGCACAGATTTGGGATTCGAGTTCAGTTGGTGTTCGCACCTAGAGAGCAGTTTTTTACACGCAAAAGGTAAAAGTTTATGCCGGAAAGGATTCGAAGAGGACGACAAGTGTAGCTGAAGCCGTTGTAATGGAACTCATGGATGGATTCCTCATGCAAGGCAGATGCTTGTGTACCGACAACTGGTACACAAGTTTACCACTAGCTCATCATATTTTTTGAAGAAACGAACTGACTTGGGACACTTTGAGAACACCGCAGATCTCACATCAGGAAACTTAGAGTACGAGAAGCCTGAGTGTGGTGAGGTCGTTCACCGGAAGAATCAGAAAGGAGTTCTGATTTTAAAATGGAAAGACCGAAAAAACATCCACATGCTTTCAACGAAACATGACGCCAGCTGCCACCCTAATGGGAAGCCTACTGTCGTTGTCGACTACAACTCAATGAAAGGATTTGTGGATCTCATTGACCAGATGGCAGCTTACACGCCCTTCGCAAGGGAAACCAGCATGTGGTATATCAGGCTGTTTTGAGACTGGAAAGGATGTGTCGACCCGGAAAGGAGCTATGTATCGACGAATCGATGGTGCCCTTCCGCGGGCGTGTCTCCTTCTGGCAGTACAGCGGCAACAAAAGACACAGATTTGGGATTGAGCTCTTCAAGTTATGTTCGAGAGCAGTTTACACACAAAAGATAAAAATTTATGCCGGAAAGGATCCGAAGAGGACGACAAGTGTAGCTGAAGCCGTTGTAATGGAACTCATGGATGGATTCCTCATGCAAGGCAGATGCTTGTGTACCGACAACTGGTACACAAGTTTACCACTAGCTCATCATTTTTTTTTGAAGAAACGAACTGACTTGAGGCACTTTGAGAAAGAGACCCGCAAAAGTCCACCACAGGAACTTAGAGACGAGAAGCTGAAGTGTGGTGAGTACTTTCACCGGAAGAATCGGAAAAGAGTCCTGATTTTAAAATGGTAGGACCGAAAAGACATCCAAATGCTTTCAACGAAACATGAGGCGCCAGCTGCCACCCTAATGGGAAGCCTACTGTCGTTGTCGACTACAACTCAATGAAAGGATTTGTGGATCTCATTGACCAGATGGCAGCTTACACGCCCTTCGTAAGGAAAACCAGCATGTGGTATATCAGGCTGTTTTAATATCATCTGGTCACCCAAACAGCCCTAGTGAATGCCTGGTTCCTTTATTGCGAGAAAGTGAAGAAGATCAGGATTAATTTCTTCAAAAGGAATTGATTGTCGACGCTCTCATCTACTTCAGCCAATACTAGCAGATCGTCGTCCAGAAGAAAGCTTGTTTCCGACCCTCAAATGACGGCCAAAGACAAAAGGCTTTGTAAGGACTGCTACAGCAAAATATCAAGTAGATCTGGAAGGACTGCGGCTAGAAACTTGGCTAAGGAGACTAAAACAAATGCGACCGATGCGATCAATTTTGTTGCCTCGAATGTTTTCAATCTGTTCATAACTGCTAACCATTGTAAACGGCTTTCAATTTATAATTTTCTTGTAATTTTGCAATTGTTATTCGAGGTTTTGTATGATTTCCCAATTGACACGTGATAATCAGTAGAAACCTTACAAGTAAAAGGATCACTGGTCGAAGTCCAAATTTAGAATTATTAGAAGATAAAACAACTAATACACATCAAAGAAATCAAAACTCCAATCGATTTGGCTTACTTACGGTACTGTCGGTCAACATTCCGCCATCGTCTACGGGGGGGGGGGGGGGGGGGGGGGGGGGGGGGGGGGGGGGGGGGGGGGGGGGGGGGGGGGGGGGGGGGGGGGGGGGGGGGGGGGGGGCAATTGACCGAGATGTCGCCACCTGTAATGAATTTTTCTGTACGAGCTTAACCCCTATTCCGGTTTGGTGGAGCATCTTTCATCAGAACTTTTTTCTACAACAGTACTTGTTTGTTGCACCGTTTTGTAATTATAAGTGTACACTGAGTAATGGACAATTTATTGTGAGGATCAACAGGAGGTGCTTGCAAAAGTGAAAGTTGGTACCTGCTAACACATCTTCCTACTCCATTTTTGGAATGTTAGTGGTGGCTTCATTAAGAATGGCAATATACACGCATTTGGATGTGCTAGGCGATGCAAGAATCATTGCAAAATGGATCGGGAAACGGTTGCATATTTACTAAATATATGAATACTCCGGACGAAGCACAAGCTCTAGATAATTACTTTAGTTTAATTCAATTTTCAATCTTTTCTCTGAGCGAACATTGGTAACTTGGCATATCGACGAACGCAATATACTATTTGGCGTAACTGGCGGAGGACAGGCTGTTCAATCTAGCCTTCGTCGTTCCGGTGCAGGAGGTGCGTAGGCCTGGGTCGCTTTTTGCAAGGATGAAATGACACGATGAAGAGAAGAGATGAAGAGAAAGATAAAACGGTCTCTAGTGACGTGCAGAAGGGATCTTACGGATTATCAGAAAGCCTTGCAGCAAAATCTAGCACCTTCTCTGAAGTGTTGGCCTAGTCTAGACTACGTATTTTATTAGGAAAATGCTCCCATTCACGGAAGTGTGTCGAAGAATAACCGGTGGCATTCCCAAAGCTGCATATAGCAGGCAGCATTGAAGCTTGGAACGGAATCGATGAAGAAGACCTTCGGGCGAAGTTCCTAGCATCCCAAGGAAGGCCTTATGTCACGCATTCCCGACCAAGATGAATTGTTCATGCCCTCAGGGTTAGCTCATAGTTACGAAACTCTAAAACCGAAAAACTGACATAAAGTAGGGTAGAGAAATGAGCCTGTTGCCAAAACTCGAATACATTGGTCATTCGTGCCGAGAAATACGTTAGTCATTCTAGAAAAATTCCAAAATGGCTGCTTATTTTGAATTGCAAAATCTGGGGTGAGATTGAAGTTATGAACAACACAGAGACGAAAAGACTAGCGCTGCGCTCAAAAGAAATTTTGTCGTTCACAAATCCGAGTTCGAAGACAGGTAGAAATAAATAATTTCACTCTTGTAGCAAACGAATCTAGCAAATAGAGCTGCGACGTAATCGTGCTGTAGTAGTGCTTATTATTCAACAGTACAAAAGGAAGGTTTGAAGCACAATACTAACGACTAAAGCGCGTCGATTCCTTACCTTGCATTTACCATTCCGCGAACAATTTTCCCGGTAGATGGACGGTTTGCACGCAACATTTTGTGCTATCGCGAGGTACACTCTAAGAATTTACATTGTCATCT